GCCTTGCGCCTCGAAAGGACTGGGTGCCTGCAAGTAATGGTTACTAGGTGCAGTGCCCAGGGGCGATGGGGTCATGGTTCCGCTATTAGAGCTGGTAGAAAAATATTTTCTTCCTGCACCCCAATGGACTGTCTTGTGCACACCCCCCTTTGGAGACCACTGCTCCAGAGGCTGGGTGGAAAAATCTGATTGAGAGAGGACCTGATTTTTTCAAGGGGTTGAGCACCCCCCGCCCCGAGTCTTCTGTATTTTGGTTAGAGCAGTGGAAACTCATTGCTTCTGAAAATCTTTCTTTTCTCTTTCACATCTACATCACTATTTTCTTCTCCTCCTCTTCGACCCACTGCCTGCTTTCCTCTCAGCTCTCTTTTGTTTCCTCTCATGTCTGGTCTCAGAACATTTCATCCCCTTTATCCACCTTTCCCAGTAATTCCAGACCCTGTCCTATCTTGTGGTGCCCTTCCCCTGCTTCACACGCTCTTTTTCACCTCCTTTGTTTTATCTGTCTACGTTGTACACCCCCATTTCCATATTTTAGGGGGCAGCATAAAGGGTGGGGGGTGGGGAGAATGACAGATTGGGGCAAGTGACACAGCCGGGGGGATTGCATGGATGTGGGGAAAGGATTCCCAGCCGCTTTGGTTCTTCCCTGCCAGTGTTTTAACACCAGTGGGACACACTCGTGAAGGGTTAAAACAAACACGCTAGGAAAGAGGTGTTTATCACAAGGCTGAATAGCCAGCCATCACCATCAGCGTCTCTAGGCCTTGCCTCTGTGCACAGTCATTCCTGATATTATTTTAAAGCCTTAAAACAACCCCCAACCTAATGGGATTTGCTTTTCCCGTCACCCTCCACTACACACTGTTGCCTCTCGCAAGCTGTAACAGCCCACCCTGTACCCCTTGGCTTTCACCCGCCCTGCTAAATTATGCACACACATGCTGGGGTCAAAACAATATTGAGAGAAAATAAAGGAGGCAAGGGGAGAGGTGAGGAAATGGGATCATGCAGGACAAGGGTCATTAAAAAAAGAGGAGGGGGTATTCTGAGCGTGGGGAAGGCAGGGATAAGGAGGGAGATGTGACTAGCGAAGGAGCGCTGGCTCACTGACACAGAAGAGAGCAGAGCTCTGATGTCTGGGGACTCCACGTCGCGTAATGTTTTTAAGAACAGGGTAGACAAATAATATCATCTGGCACGTGCAGGTGAAATACGGTTGAACCTTCATCGATGCCTCCTGCAGCCTCCTTCCACACCTGCCTTCATTATTCCTATCACTCCTATTCCATAAACTCCTGAGAAGGTCTGCTGCTGTCTGAAGGAGAGAGGCAGATCAAGGATATTTGGGTGTAGAAGAAACACCTTCAGAGATCTGAAGTGAGCTTTTCTCAAGCAGCCCACCAGCGCCGTGATGGAGCTGTGACCCAAACCCCAGTCTGTGGGGGAGCAATTCAGTAACAGCCTCGCTCTTTGTTTGTGTGTGCATGAATTCCTCTCTGTGGTTTTCAGACTGTCCCTGAGTGTCTGGAAGGGATGGGAATTTTTGTCTCAGGGTCCAGTCACAGTAAGCCCTTCTTTTTAACCATACTTCCCCCCCACTTTTTTTTCCCTGTGACATTACTACAAGTTTTAAATTTTTTTTTTTTTACGAGCTTGGAATAAAAAAAAGGGGGATAAAGTGACTTTTTTGTATTTAACGAGTTCACACACCAGAGGCAGTATGCCGTCCAAGTACAAATAGGAAGCGTTCCAGATGCCTGCTGGACTTGTGGCCTCCTGCACCCCAACACTGCATGTCTGGATGTGTCCAGAAAGGCCTGTGCACAAATGCAGCCTGGAGTTAAGTGTACTTAAGCTACCTGGTGTGCCTTTTCATTGGACCTTGTTACAGGGTTAACACAGGGGTGACGAATCCCCGTGGGGATGGAGTACTGCTCCCTGGCCTGTGCTGGGTCCCCAGGGCTGGCACAGCAGTGCCTGGAGAAGCCTGCTCCTGTCCCAGCCTGCTGCCTTGACAAATGGGTTTTAGCATGGCTCAGGATCCGTGCATTGAGCTCCTCCCGTGGCTGCTTCCCTTTGAGCAAAAGCCCCAAATAGCAGAGACTTTGACACACAGTGCAGTGTGGGGGCCTTAAATAACAGCCTTTATTGCTCATTATTTGCACATCCACCTCACAGGAGAAAACATGAAGGGAAAGTGCATTGCAGGAAACGCTGATGCAGGCGTGTTTGCCCCGGCCTGACCGGTATAGTAAGAAAGAGAAGACACAAGAATTTACAAGATGCAGGTGCACAGCTCCAGCACGGGTTTGCTGTGGAGAGCTGACACATGGGCACAGGTGACTGAAGGGCAACAGTCTGCATTTCATGGAGCAGGACCATTCCTCTCCCTCTCCCAGTCCCTCTTTCCAGTTTCATTTGAAGTGAAGAGCAACTAGGAGGGCAGAGCAGCGCTGGAAATCAGACAAGTTCTCCTCATATGGATATATACAAATTTAGGTGCCAAACTTTGGACGCCAAAGAATTAAAACATAGCCACTGCATTGGAAAGCACAAGTAGCACGTCAGGAGCAGCTGCACTGCTATGCGTATGCCATGGTGGTGTGACCCCCATCCTCCCAATTTT